CAGGATCTTGCCAGTCGCGGAGCGGTGTGTAGAGCACCATCGAGACGCTGTAGTAGGCCACTTGGCGCGTCACGGCTGGCACGGCGCCGCGCCAAAGCACGCGCGGGCCGTCGCGGGCCACGGCGTCGCGTAGCGTCGTCACGAGACCTATCGCCCTCCATGCCGTCCCACCATAGCGCGGGTATCGCAGCGGGAGTACCCAATGAGTGGCCTTCACGGGCGGTCTGCAGCTGGACCTTGGCAAAGTCCATGGGCAGCGTCGAGAGCTCGGCGAGCGTCGAGCCGGCGGCGCCCGCGGCGAAGCGCACGCTCCTCGGGTCGGTCGCGTCCATGGTTCGAATTCGAAGTCGGCGCCGATCTTGCGCCACTTCAACTTGAAGTTACCGTCCAAATCGAAACGACCGTTCGGGCGCCAATCAGACGCGAGGTCTGTCGATACGCGGCGCGCGTCAGCGACGGCGTTCGGCTCGTCTTTTCCACGCGAACATCACGTTGCGACGGAAATAGTGTGTGTCGTCCCTCGAGGAATCTCAGCGTGGACACTTGAGCTACTTGTACTCGAGCGGCTCGCACGTGCACCTCGCCTTTCTCGCATACTTCGATGCGACTGGCGTCCAAGCTGGTTCCATGCACTCGACACAAGGCGAGCGAGCACCTTGTGTGGCTCAGATCCTACACTGTAGAGGCTATAAGAATGGAAGCCGCAGCCGCGAGCTTGATGACGTGGAACCCTCTCGTGCGAGATGCTAATACGAGCCAACTCTCGTGCGGACCCACACTACGTCATCGGCCAAAGTCAAGCATGCGTTCCATAATCTGTCCAGGCACTTCAACGCGGCGACGCACACTAATTCCTGCGATGTACAGGTCCAGCTGTTCTTGAGTTTCATTTCCAAACTTGAGTCCGATGGCCGACCCGACGTACGGCTTCTTCCCGTCCGGCACCGAGGTATCGTCGGGCTTGAAGTGGCTCAAAGAACACCCGATCGCAGCCACCGCTGCAGCCGCAGCCGCGACTGCCGTCTCGATCGTCACATACCTGCGCGCGTCCGAGCCGCGGCTCGACCACGTGGTGAGCTGGTGCGATTCGCACGTGAACGAGGCCGACAAGGACGAGCTCACGTCGCAGATGCAGTCGCTGCACGTTGACGATACAGCCACCGAAGAATCCGAGGCGGCGCTCGCGGCGGAGGCCGACGAGCACAAGGCGGCGCTGCACAATGCGTCGCCGCAGTGGGGCTGGTACGTGGCAATCACGCCACCGCGCGACCCGATGGCCGCACACAACCTGCCGCGCGCCATCACAGACCCTCAGATGCGATCGTCTTCACGACCATCCTCGAACCCGCCGCCGCCGTCGTCGCTCGGCAGCATGCGACGTACTGTCTCTGTCAAGATGCTATGACCCGTATTAATTATTCTAAATAAGAAATCCTTCCTCGTGCGACGCCGCCACCGGCGCTCGACCCACGAGGCCATCCAGTGTCTGGTTGATGGCGGCAATGGACGCGCGCAGATTCGTGTAGTCATCGCGCAGAGACGCATGCAGCGATATGCGCATCGCCTCCATCTTGTTGCGGGTGACTTGCAGTTGCAGCTGCACATCCTACGAGGACCTCATGACGCCGCGCGATGGGTTGGGCGCCACACCTGCTGGTGGGCGGCGACAGCGGCCGCAAGCGCTTTCTCTTCGACGTCGACGACACATGCATGGAGGACCGCGCTGACCGTGTCGTCGATGCTGCGGTGCTCAATGTTCCACGCCATGGTCACCAGCGTCTCCTGGATCGTGGTGACGCGACCCGCGTCACTTGCCAAGTGGCTCTCGATGCGCCTTACGTCGTCGCGTCGCTGCCTCTCGGCGCTCAAGAGGCTCTCTCGGAGTGCGTCGCACTGCGCCATGTGCTGCTGAGCGAGCCGATCGAGATCGCTTCGGACGGCGGCGACGGCAGCCACCTGCACCGTATGCTCGGCGGCTTGGTCCATACATGCTTTAAGCGCCAGAGCGTCCAGCTGCGACTGCAGCGCCTCGATGGCCGCTTGATGGCTCGTGCTGGACGACGCGACCGCCGTCGAGATGGTCTGCAGCTGGGCCTCGAGCTCGGACTTTGCCGCCGCGTGCTGCGAGACGCCGGCTGCCCGGTGCCCGTCCATGGCCGTGTATAGTGCCAGAAGACGCGTATGCAGCTCCTCGATCGCGAGCGTCTGGCCCGCGTTCTGTTCGCGCAAAAGGGCTAAAGTGGTCGCTTCCAAGCTGGCCCATCCTTGGCGCACACTCTCGAAGCGCTCGTCCGTGCTGGCTTGCAGCGCCTTGACGGTATCGACGACGTCCATGCAAGCGACGAGCCTAGCCCTCCATCATGCAGGTGCATTGTATCAACGTGATCGTACCGCTGCGCATGCTCGGTGGCGGTCGCCTCGAGCGCGGCTGCAATGGCGCCGTGGACATCGCGCTGGAAGTCGTGGACGGCGCTCCGAGCATCGTCGCCGTGGCGCGCAACCGCTGCCTCGAGCTGCATCTGGTGCGCGATGCAGGCATTTGTGCGCGCAATGACGCCCGACACGCTTCTCTCGACGTCCTTCTTGATGGTCTCGATGCTGCCGGTCGTACCCTTGATGAGCCCGTCGATGCGTTTTTTTAGACTCGCATGGCCTTTCTGCCGCGCTTGGATTTCGAGCGGCAGGACCTCTTCCAGGTCCCGAAGCCGCGTCTGCACGCTGGCCGTGACGTCGCGCGTGGCGTCCCGCAAGTCGGCGACCTGCGCTCGGAGCTCGTCGTCGAGTTGCACGTACGCGGCGTTGCGATGCCGCACTTCGTGGCCCAGCTCGTCGACAACCGCGCGGAACTTGGCGTCGCTCTCCGTCACAATCGCCTACCAGAAGGTGTCGCATCGACGTCTGTGCGATGAAGGGTCGTCGTGCCTGCACATGGGCCGTCATCGTCTTGGTCTCGTGCAAGAGGAGCTGCTCGAGGCCGCCCACGTGCTCGGCGAGTCGCCGCATGTCTTGCGCGAGCTGGCTTGCGCGGCGGGCGTCGGTTGCGCTCTGCATTTCGCGGAGCTCTTCCAAGTGGCGACGCGCATCCCCGGCGTCCATGGCGGCCCGTGACGCGACGCGGTCCACGAGCCCCGTGACGCGAGCTTCGAGCTCGACCAGCGCGCTGGCGTCGACACGGTGGCTACTCGTCCCACTGCTGCCCATCTCCATCGTCTATCATCATCCTCGATGGCACATGCTGCACCATCAATCTCAGACCTTCCACCGCTCGGCGTCGGCGTCGGACTTGAGCTGCGTCATAGCGCCGCGGGTTGTTAGCACGAGTGTCTTGAGCTCGTCCAGCGCACGATCATGATCTCGCAGGGCCGACTGTGCATCTCGCCGCTGAGAGGTGGGAAGGTGATGACGACGCACCTCGGTGGCCAGCGACGTGGACGTGGGTTCTCCGAGCCGTCGCTCGAGACTGGTCAAGCGCTGCTCCATCGTCGCGCTGTGCTGCCGCAGATCGCCGACAACGTCCTCGACGGCCTTTCCCAGCCGGACAATCTGTCTGTGCTCTTAGAACCCCATGGCGAGGTCAACATTCAACCTCACCAAAGATGACCGCTGCTTTTTGCTTGTCCTTTTCTTGGATCATCGCGTCGGCTTGCACCTTGTTGTGCAGCGCCACGTGAAGCTCGTGGCACTCGGTCGCTACTGTGAAGAGACTGCATCGTCATGCATGTGCGCCTTACGACGTACGTGCGTGGAGCTACATAATGCTGGCGTCAGCAGCTGCACACAGCTCCTCTGTACCTTGGCATCGTCGACCTGCGCGGCTTGAAGCTGCAAAACGTCGTGGCGAAGGCGGTCGTTCTCGCGCTCGATCGCGGTGATGCGGTCCCAGTACTCGTCGGCGAGCGTGCGCTCTTGGTTGCTTGGAGCTAGCACACTGCCACGTCATTCCTTTGCGACGACTTTAATCTAGTCAATAGTACTACAAAGAAGTGGGGTCTTGGGCTTCTCGAGCGGTAGCTTGCCGCGGTGGATCGCTGGCAGCATGCTTCCTCCTCGACTCGGACGCGTGCGTGGAGGTTACAGAACGACGGTTTGTATTTAGTCGCCAACGACGAAGCGCACTTATCGCGGCAGCGGCGGCTGCGCGTACGGGCGGTGGTCCTTGTCGTACGGCGGCGGGTGGTACCCGTGGTACGGTGGCGGCGGTGGCATCGCGTAGCCGCCATTCCCGCTGTACATGGGCGGCGGATACATGGGCGGCTGCATCATCATGGGCATGCCGTACTGGTTGACGTATGGCGGCATCTCGTCGTCGCCCTCGTAGTAGCCGTCCTGCGGTGGGTACGTTGGCGGCGGTTGCTGCACTGGCGGCGGCGCGTACGACCGGCTGGGTGTAAAGGCCGCGGCCGACGCGTTGAGCTTGAACTCTTTGGCGAGCGGGTTGAGACCCTTCTTGGCCGGCGCCTTGGGCTCTTCCTTCTAGCCAAGCACGTTGAATTGAGTGACACGAGATGCGAACGTACCGGCGCTGCGGCCGCCGTTGGTGCGGGCGCAGTTGGCGACGCAGGCTTCTTGGGCGATTCGGGCTTCTTGATCGGTTCGGGTTTCTTGGGCGACTCGGGCTTCTTGGGCGACTCGGGTTTTTCGACCGGCTCCTTTGGCGATGTTGAAGGCGCATTGACGGGCGACTTGGCCGGCGCCGCAGCGTGCGCGGGGGACTTGGCTTTCGGAGCAGCGTCCTGCTTGGTCCGCAGTGCCGGAGGCACATACGCGTTCGAGCCACGCTGCCAGGCCGAGGCTACACACATGTGAGATGCCAGGTCTTTACGTGGTGATTGTACGCTTCTCAGTCGAGTTGGGGCCAGACCGGACGACGGAGCTATACCGCGTCTCCTCGTCGATTTCGTCGCGCCCGGTCGCCGCATTGCGCTCTTCGAGGAGGTGAAAGTTGGACGACGTCTGCGACTCGATCTCGCGGGCCATCTTTTCGGCCGCGCGCACCTGCGCTTGCGTCATCTTGGCCTTCTCGAGCTTGGTCGTGTAAATGTTCTCGTCGTACGTCGACGTGACGCCAAAGAGCTTTTCGTTGACCTCGAATTGGTTCCAGTTCTAGATCGATGGGATAAGAACTAGGGAATCGATGGATAAGATTGTCGACCTTGTTACTGCCGCGCTCGAGGTCGCCACTGTCGAGCGTCGGATCTAGCCAAGACGACGCTGCTTGGAGCTCACGCCCAAAGAGATGCGCCTTGAGGTTGTTCGAGATGTCCGTGTCCGTCTGGAACGTGCCCGAGTTGTAAGGAAGGCGTTGGGCGACGCCGGCGTCCTGGTGGTACTCGGACCGGCCCTGCGACGTCAGGTGCGCGAGCAGGAAGTGCTGGATCACAAAGGTGCTGCCGCTGTTGAAGGGCAACGACGGGTCTTCCGTCAACCGCTGTGTGTTCTTCAGAACCACGGTAAACTCGTCCGGGTCAATGCAGTGCAAGACGCCAGAGTACTTGGATTTGTCGCGCAGTGTCACCTCCACATTGCGGCCCTACAATCGAGACATCATACACGTGCTGCAGATGCAACGGAGCGTACGACGTAGAAGCGGAAGATGTACAATGCGCGGTGGCGAAGAATGCGCGCTTGATGCTCGTCCGCGGAGGGCGCCGGCGTCGGCGTCGCCGTAGAAGAGGCCTGGAACCCCGGCGGCAAGCTGGACTTGGTCGTGCTCGCAGGAGCAGCGGGACTATAGAGGTGCACATACAGGTGTCAACTTGGGCCCATGAGTTGCATCTTGGGCGTACCTGGCCTTCTTCTTCCCCTTGGTCGACGACATGAGGCGGCCGTGAATGGAACTGCGGCCGGCCCCGTATCCGGATACGGTCCCAGCTCTGGTTTTGGCTCGCTTTGTGTATTATTTTGCCGTTTTTGCTAAATATATACAAAAACCGAGTCACTTTAATTCCAAAGTGTCCCAGCGCGTGGCGACGTGTGGCTGCTTGGGCATGCTTGCATCGGATTGGGCAATAGTCGGGCGATAGAGCGCTTCGATTGGCTGCGATGCCGGCTTTTTCTTTTTTTGCTCGTGTCGACTCGATACCTTGGTGTTTGTATGCAACGCGATTAAAACGACAAGCGTGGAATTCGATTGGCGCGTGGGCCAATGAAACAAAGCGATTCCCGGATTTTGACAATCATCAAGAGCAACATGGAGGGCATGGCGAAGCGCCTCCAAGAGGCGACGCTCATGCAGCGCAAGCGCGACGAGATCGACGCTCTCAAGGCCAAGCGCATCGAGAAGTCCAAGGGCCCGGCCTCGGCCTTCAGCGGCAAGCAGAAGAAGCAGCAGATGCGCGACAAGAAGGCGCGCGTCAAGGCGCGCAAGGACCAAATCGACGCGCTCGACGCGCATTTCGTCGATGGCAGCGAAGAGGCCTTGGACGCAGACAACCTGCAAGGTATTCGCACGGCCAATCTCAAGCTCACGGTCGCGCTCGGCCGCCAAAGCAAGGATCTGCTCGAGAAGCAGCTCTCGTCGTTCTTTGTCAAGGAAACGAAGGAGCAAATCCAGCTGCGCATCATGGAAGGCCAGTACCCGCTCGACATGACCAAGCGCAGCAAGCCGCTGCTGTGGACCGAGCTCAACCTCGACCCGCTGCTGAACTTCCCGCAGCGCCCCGCGTGGAACTACAAGCAGTCCAAGGAGCGCGGTACGGTGTCCCAGCTACGATTACCTTATGTACTCACACCGGATCTTATATTAGTGCAAGACAATGAAAGCATCATGTTCGACAACTGGCTCGCCAACATCCACAACAAGTACGAGCCCGAAGAACTCAACCACTTTGAGCACAACCTCGAAGTGTGGCGCGAGCTCTGGCGCGTCTTCGAGCGGTCGACACACGTACGCCTCCACCTCGGACTGACGACGAGTTTGACCCATGCGATTCTAGATGGTCATTGTCGCCGACATCCGCAACCCGCTTTTGCACATTCCGCCGTCCGTGTACGACTACATCACCGAGACGCTCCAGCGCCCGCTCATGATTGTCCTCAACAAGATCGACTTGATCCCGTGGGAGCTCACCGTGTGCTGGCGTGACTTTCTCCAGAAGCGCTTTCCCAAGGCGCAGCTGCTCTTCTTCTCGTCTCGTTCCAAGTCGATCCACGACCAAGTCGACCTCGCGGGCCGCCGAAAGGTCTTGAGGTATAGCATTGCTTTTGTATGCCATAAGCCTCAAACTGATGGGCCACGACGCTAGTGAAAAGCTCAAGGTAGGCGACTCGTCCGCGGTGCAGGGCGCGATCGGCATCCTTGTGGGCTGCGGCATTCCCGCGGACCGCGCCCAGGAGATCATCTACTCGGTTCTCGATGAAGACGATGAGGACGAGGACGTGGACGCTGGCATCCACGCGACCAACACGCCGGCACGCCGCGCCCGGCGCAAGGTCAAGGCCGAGAAGGCCAAGAAGGCGCAGACGCCTCCCGAGCAGCTCGACGATGTGTGCGACTACTGCGGCCAAGACGAGCCCGTCGCGGTCTGCTCCGAATGCTCGGACCTCTTCCGCGACGTGCGTCTCTGTGCTGGCTGCAACAAGGACGTCCATCGCCACGTCAAGCACAAGGTCGTGCTGCTGGACGCGCGGCCCGAGCCGACGGCCGAAGAGATTGCCGCCAAGCAAGTGACCACGATCGGTCTCATTGGCCACCCGAACGTCGGCAAGTCGAGTGTCCTCAACGCGCTTGCGGGCAAGAAGCTCGTGTCGGTCTCGCACACCCCGGGGCACACGAAGCGTCTCCAAACCATCTTCGTGGCGCCCGAAATCTGCATTTGCGATTGTCCTGGCCTCGTCTTTCCGTTTGTCGGGGTGCCCAAGCACATGCAGGAGCTCTGCGGCCTCTTTCCGTACGCGCAGGTGGACTTGCTTTATATCTCCTGGAACGTCGTCCCCATGGATGCTGCTTCTAGATCCGCGAGCCATACTCGGCTGTGCGCTACTTGGCCGAGCATTGCGCCCTCGAAGACATTTTGCACCTCGTGCCCCGGGTCCAGCACTTTGATGGCGTTGACGAGCCCCTCGTACGTGCTTATCAGAGTAGGCGCAATGCTCATTTCAACGTGTAGGACTGGTCGCCATGGACGCTCTGTGAGGCGTACGCCGAGAAGAAGGGGTACAAGACCGACCGTCGCGGCCGCCCCGACCACCACCGCGCAGGCGCCGAGCTCATTCGCGACTGCATGGACGGTATCCTGCCCCTCTTCTTCTACCCGCCGCAGTACACGGGTGCGTACTTTGACGGCACGGACAACAAGCACTACTGCGGCTACGACGCGGTGGCCAAGCTCAACACGGTGCATGCGGCGCCGATGACGCACGCCGCGTCGGATGACGAGGACGATGACGACGCGTCCGAGAGCGACGACGAGCCGGCGCCAACCAAGACCAGCGGGTTTGCAGCCACGAGCATGTATCTTTTGGACGATGATTCGTCGAGCGACGACGATGACGAGTAGACCATCATCGTACGTTTGGAGCGTGCAATCTATATCCTGTTCATGCTTATGCGCGCGCCGCTTTCTTGACCTTGCCCTTGCGCACGAGGAGGGGCTTCCCGTCCATGAGGATCTTGAGCGACTGCTCCTGGAGGACATTGGCCTTGCTTGTGTCGAGCCAGAACGTCGTGCGCTGGATCTTGACGGTGCACATGCCCTTCTCATCCTTGGCGACGAGCTTCATATCTGTACATCGGGGTTCATTCATGTGGTCGTCGTCGCAAGAAGGCCTACCCTTGGGGTAGCACTGGAACGTCTTGGGGCGAAGACCGCCGGCGACTTGAATCTTCAAAAACTCGTCTACGTGATGTATAGAATACTAGTTGAAGGCAAGGGACGCACCGCGCTCGCCGATAGTGCGGCAGGACGTCACGTTTGTGATCACGCGCTCACCAAGGTACTTGGCGCCAAAGAAGATGACCGCTATGAAATTGCTGCGATGAGACACCAAGAGAACTCGATGAGAGATGTGGGGTAATACCCGACAAGCTAACCAACGGCCCGGCCGTGGCGATTTTCTAAAACGCAGAAGTCAGCACACCAGCAATACGAAGCGCAAGACACGAACCTCGAGCAAGGATGCCGACTCGGGAAGCGTCACAAGGATCTGTGCGCTCAGCGCGGCCGTCGTGTACATCTGGATCGCACTGCCCTTCCCAATGTACTGGGGCCACTTGGCATTCGATTCAAAGATGACCGTGTCGACCGTCCGCACTTGGTACTTGGGCTCTGGGGCGTTCGTGCTACAGCGAAATGTACCTCGTGAGCCCAAGCAATGCGATTCCGCGGAGGCATACACGTAGGACGACATGGGCGCCGCGGCCATGCGCGAGGCGAACGGCCCACGCAGCGCACGCCGGCCGAGACCCGACACCACCAGCATGAAATCAAATTCCACGCGTTTCATTGGTCCGTTGACACGAAGTTCGAAGCAGCACCTCACCAACTAAACGACTAAACAACTAAGCGGGGACAATACCGGTTTTAATATAAATATGAACGTGTTTCGCGTTATCTTCGTTGTTATTAATACAAAGAGTTCGCATACGTAGTCTAGCAATCTCCTTGCTAATAGTCTCGCAAAGGACTGACACAAGCGGTCGACGATAGGGTCGACCGCCTACGAGGAGAGACGCCCCATCATAGATGCGATGCCGCTCACTCGGGGACGGAGTACCGATACGATATATCGACTGAACAACTGAACTAGTAGTTTAGTAATAGTTTAAAAGTACTACTAGTACAAAAAAGATAGACTAGAACCAAGAGGACGCGCATCAAGAAGGTCCCCATAAACCATGCCCATCAACGCGATGTACTGGACTACTATCTTGCAAGGATCAGCGCCATTCATCTCATGGGGCTTGGGTTGGTGGCGTGACATCACACGTCGCGATAAAAAGCTTGGCAACGGCTCGGGGGAGGTTTCATCTCCAAATCCTCGCATGGGCCGAGGGGTGCATCCGGCGCAGGTGCGCCAGGCGGCGTGGGGAGAGCCGCCCAAGAAGGCGCCGAGCTTCAAGAAGCTACCGGTAAGGGCAAAGGCGACAACGGCTGTCGCGCCGTTCCATGATAAGCGCTCGCCCGCGACCTTGGCGAGTCGCTTCCGGCTCCGCTACGAGCGCCTGCGGCTCATCGTGTCCCTTCTGCCTACAATCGTCTCTCGCCTCGTTGGCCGGCGCGTTTCGTGGCTTGGTTCGTCCAGCACGACCGCCTTCTCGAGCCGCGGTGGCAGCACCCGCTCGCGCCGCCGACGCTCGCGCTACAACTGCGTCCTCGATGCGTTCGTCGCGCTCCAGAAGCGGCTCGGCGTCGGCGCCGTCGTAAGCATCGAGGTGGTGCATCAGCTCTACATCCTCTTTAGCGTGCCGTACCGCGTCGGCTTTCTCTTCGATCCGTACGACGGCCATGTCTCGAAATCAAACACGTGGTGGCTCTCCCTCTACCTTCTGGCAGCGTGTGACGTGCTGGCGTACGGTCTTGCGATCTGCAGTCTGCTGCACTCGCTCGTCGATCGGCGCAAGCTCGCCCAGGTCAAGCCGCGGACCATTGACGTCTTCTCGATGATGCGGCACACGACCAACGCGCAGGCCGCGATCGTCAAGTTCAGCATGACGCGCCAAGAGTCGCTTCGGCGCCGGTCGTCGTTCTTATCAAAAGAAGCGAGCATGAAGCCCGAGTTCCTCCTCAGCGCGTCGTGGGACGCGGGCCGCGCAATCCGTAAAGCACACATTGCGTTGCAGCTCGTCGCGCTGATTCCGTTCCAGCTCGTGAGCGTTTGGTCGCCCAATCTACTCCACGTCACGTGCCTTCCAATGCTGCTGCGGGTCGAGAAGGCAGCCAAGGTCGCCCGCGCGCTCAAGCGGTCCTTGGCCGAGAACGAGCGCCTCCGAGGCTTCCACAACGCCGGCATGTCGCTCCTCCTCACGTGCGTCGCGCTCAACTTCGTGGCCATGCACTGGTACGCGTGCATCTTTATGCTTGTCAACCACATCGAGTGCGGCTACGAGAGCAACGCGTGCGGCGTCGGCACGTCGTGGGCGGCCCGCAACCACATTCTTGGTACGATATCGCAAGAAGGAAACGAGGGAGATCGAACTATGACGTCTATGTTGCAGGGCCCAAGTTGTTGCACACGTACGTGTACTCGCTCGTCGTCGCGGGCTACGGCTTCTTGATTCCGGAGACCAACGTGGAGCGTGTCTTTGTGGTCCTGATCCAAGTCGGTCGATACATTGCATTTGTCGGCGTCGTCTCGGCCTTTGTGTTTCTCTTCGAGTGTCAAAACAGCCGCCGCAACCACTTTAGCGACAAGGTCGACGGCATCAAAGGGGTAATGTCGTCTTGCGAACGATCAAACTATCAACTGATGCAATGTCCAACGCTAGTTTCTCGTCGACAAGCGCGTCGCGGCCGACATCAAAGCCAAAGTGCTTGCGTTTTACGAGCATTTCTGGACGGCGCAGCGCGGCATTCCAGAAGCCACGATCGTCGCGTCGCTGCCGTCGCACATTCAATCCACGTTCCTCCACCATCTTCGCGCCCGGCTTCTCAAATCCGTACGACCTCCATGTATACATACTCTGAGGCTTTCATTGGTACATATAGGTACCGATCCTGCGCGCGCAGCCCGTCCACATTATCAACCGGCTCGTCTTTGAGATGCGCCGGCAGAGTTACTCGCCCCGCGACTGGGTCTTATTCGACGAGCGCTGCGAGCACTTATATCTGATGGGCCGCGGACGCATTGCGATCATGCACGCCAAGTCGGACGACGTACGGAGCTACGTATGATCGCCCCATGATATTCCCGCTGGATCGACGTCGACCAACTAAATTAGATCCTCGATGGCCAGTACTTTGGTCTCTCTATGCTCGTACCCGAACACATGGCGACGGTCCGCGCCCGCGCAGAAACGTACTGCGAGGTGTACACGCTGACGCGCCAAGACATCTACGATGTCTGCTTGAAATGGGACGCCAAGCAGATAACGTTTGACGCGATGGTCGACGGAGTCCGCGAGTCCCTCGTCACGTCGCAGCGGTCGCCGACGTCGCATGTGGCGATGAAGAAGTTTCCGGCAGCCAACGCGTGGTTCATGCCAACATCGCGCTTCCGCAAGCACTGGGAGTGGGGCATCATGATCGCGCTACTCTTCTTTGCCATCGACATTCCGTACCGGCTCTGTTTTGCGCGCGTCAACGACCTTTCGTACACGCTTTTTTCGATGCGGACAACACTCGACGTCTTCCTCTTCTGCGACGTGATCTTCCAGTCGCGCTACTTCGCCTTCGTGCATGACGAGCGCATCGTCATCGATCGCGACAGCATCTTCCTCTACTACAAGGAGCATGGCATGGTCCTCGACTACATCTCGAACCTCCCGTTCGCGATCGTCGTCGACTGCCTCCCACTGAGCTTTAAACTCGCCAACGCGGAAGCCGTCTTGGTGCTGCACATGTGCGAGTGGATCCGGTTTCTTCGCATGCGCCACTTGCTGCCGACGATCAACCGGGTGCTTAAGAAGCTCCAAGTCAACGACACGACGTGTGTGCTCGTGTACCTCTTTTGTTGTCTCCCGATCGTGTGCCACATGAGCTCGTGCCTCTGGTACCTCCTCGCGACCTGGAACAGCGCGAGTATGCTTCCGCAGCACGCGCTCGAGGCAACGGAGTTGACGCGCACCCAGTGCCTCGAGATGGCGCGCGTCTTCAACAATTGCACGTGGCTCCTCTATGACAACGTTGTCTTTGGCGTCTCGAACGACTATGTCCGCGCCTTTTACTGGAGTGTTGTGAGTCTCGTGACGGTGCAGTTTGGCTCGATCCTCCCGTTCACGACGGTCGAGTGCATCTACATGTTTGCGTGGATCTTCGTTGGCAGCATCCTCAACTACGGCGCGATCGGCGCGCTTGTCAACGCCGTCACGCGCATGAACGCGTCGACCGAAGCCAAAGACGAGCACCTCAAGCTTGTGCATCGGTTCATGCACGCCGAAGGTAGACGATGTACAAGGATATGTGATGTATTGCATCGTGCTAGGGGTCTCGCGCCACGTGCACCGGGACGTGAGCAGCTACTTCAAGCACCGGTGGACGTCGTCGACCGAACAGCAGATCCTCACAGCGCTTGCGCCGCTGCCCGACAACCTCCGCCGAGCGATCCAGTTGTATCTGCATGCCAAAGCCGTCGCGAGCATCCAGCTGCTCCAAGACATTGACAAGAACGAACTCAAGCACATTTATGACATCATGGCGCACCGGTCGTACAAGAAAGATGAGGTGCTCGTGCGCGCTGGCGACGTCGGCGACGAGCTCTACATCATCACACGCGGCGCCGTCGAGCTCACGCTCCCTATCAACGGCGTCCCGACCGCGGTTATGGTCGTCCACGAAGGCGCTTGCATTGGCGAGGCGCAGTTTCTCGCGCGAACGCCATACCCACTGACCGCCACTGTCGTGAGCCCGTCGATCGATGTGAGCGTGCTGCACAAGCTCGACTTTGACGACATCGCCAAGCAGCTAGAAGGCTCCATGGAGGACATTGAGGCGCAGTCGATCCTTATCATCAAGAAGGAGCTCGCTTGGCTCGCTAGCATTCGCGCCAACCTCGACCGTCGCAAGGTAGCCACCTCGATGCCTCGAGGACATTTGCCGACGTTGCGATGTAGATTCGGCACGCGATGCACCGTGCGAACAGCACGGGTCTCTTCTCGGACCCGACGAGGCGCTCGATGTACGTGGACCCGGGCATGAACGTCTACCGCGTCTGGGAGTGCGTCCTGCTGATCGCTGTGCTCTACAATGTCATCTCGATCGCGTACCGCATCGCGTTTCTCATGTCGCCAACGCCAGCAACCATGTCCGTCTTCTCCGTCTTGGACTACGCGACCGACGTCCTCTTCGTCCTCGACATGTATATCAAGCTCAACCACCTCACCTTCTCGGACCGGTACGGGGACCAGGTATCACTCTCTCGCATTCGTTTGAACGAGTGACGACGGCGCGTAGGTGACCGAGGTGTCGCGCATCCGGTGGCACTACCTCCAATCGCGCAGCTTCAAGCTCGATGTGCTCGGGAGTCTTCCTCTCTACTACGCAGGGGACTATGAAGTGATGACGCTGTGCCGCCTCCCGCGTCTCGTGCGCTGCTTGGACCTCCGCACGCTCTGGGGAGACATCTCGCATTACATCCACGAGCATGTGAGCGCTGACCGCATCGCCGAGTACCTCGAGCTCTTCAAGCTCTTTATTGTGCTCGTTCTCGGCTCGCACATTGCAGGCGCGGGCTTGTACTTTGTTTCGACGACCGAGGTCGAGGCTGCGATCGCACACGGCCACGAGCCGCACCACATTTGGTACCTCCACGACAAGGTCGTCCATGAGCACCACCACGAGGTTGGCATCCAGTACCTCCGCGCGTTCTACTGGGGCCTCGGTGTCGTACGTTTCTATCAAGTCGGTATCCATTTTGAACGGTCACCGCGTAGCTGAGCTCGTTTGACTTTATGGACATTGAAGTCACGCTGCTTGCCGAGACGCTGTGGTTTTGTGCCATTGCGATCGTCGGAGTCCTCTTCCTCGGCGTCGTCATTGGCCAAACGTCCACGTCCATCTACAACGCAAGCAAAGTACCGACGACCCTAGTCATCACATCGCAGACGTCATTTGTATAGGACACGCGGGAGCTCGAGCTGCATATCGAGCGCTTCACCCATTACGCGCGGTCCAAGAACCTGCCGCGCTTTCTTCTCGAGCGCGGAAAACTCTTCTTCCGCTTCCAGCACGACTGCAGCAAGGGCCTCGATGCACACGAGGTGTTCGGGGACCTGCCGCACCACCTGTATCTCGACCTTTTCAAGGACCTCTACACGACTTGGGTCCGCAACGTGCCGTACTTTTCCGGTCTACAACCTGGTCTGTCATCATGACATCTCCTATACTTCGGTTGAGAATTCATTCCTTAGCGCACATCTACAGCATTGCCGCCAAGCTGCGCCAAGAGCTGTACCTTCCGGGCGACGACATGGTGCTGGAAGGCGACGTCGCGTCCCACTTTTTCATCATGAAGCGCGGTCGTGCCGAAAAGTACCTCAAGACCCACAGGCTCGTCATCGCGCCGGTGGAGGACGGCGTCGTCTTTGGGGAGGATGGCTTCTTTCTCGACATGCGCTACAGCTACAGCGTCCGCGCCGTCAAGTGCAGCGAGGTGCTCTGCCTACCGCTCTCCGAGTGGGAGGGGATGTGGCCGTACGAGACGCGCAGTGAGGTCGAGTGGCGCATCAAGAAGGACGTGCGGGCCTCCGTCGCGGCCATGCAGCGCGCGATTGCCGCCATTACGCGCAATTTTGGCGTCGGACCCGGCGGCCAGCCCGCGCCGGTCAAGATCAAAGCGCTCATCTTGCGCGAGCTGCAGACCACCAGCACCGGATCGTGGCGCACGGCCGTCAACTTTGCGCAGCAAGACGCCGCCATCGC